CTTATCTCAGCCCCACAACAGCTCTGTGAAGGGAGGAAAGCCCTTGACCCGGGTCTGCTGCAGGCCAGCCCTGGGCGTTTGGGGCTCTGAGTCTGGCTAACACTGGAGCCTCTCCTTCCTGCCCTCACCACCTCCACCCCAATTCCTGCAGGCACAGGAGCCCTGGGAAGCCACACAAGCAAGGCCGGGCTGGAGGCTACAGCCTCCCCTTTCCTTTGCATAGCCACCAACTTCTAAAATGCCCCCCTGAAATGGTACATGAGCTTCTTAGAGGGACCAAGACAGGTAGAGTGGGGGCCTAGGGCAGATGCCACACCCTACCCCCACCTTACAGAGCATCTCAGGGGATGAGGTGGAGATGGGCCACTCACTATCCATCCCCCTCTTCTTCTGCGCCTACAGTCCACAGGCAGAATTTAGTCCATGTTAGTCCATGCTTATGTGAATACACACATGAGCCCCTCTTCTCTCACCTCCCGCCCTTACGTCCCTCCATGTTTTGCAGCACCCTACAGTCTTCTGTGTTCCAGTCCCTTCTCTCTATCCCGGTGGACCCACGCTTACCCTCAAACACTAACTCGCCTCCATGCGGTGGGGATCCCACCAGGCAACCCAGCAGGAGCTAGCTAGGCCATCAGTGCAGGACTCTCTTGGTGTGGAACCTCCTCAGCAGTGTGTTAGAGCACCCACAACCTGCTGCAGACAGTCACAGGCAGCATCCAGGTGCACAGCTGCTGCTGAGAAATGCTCTTGATTACTGCCCCCCACGGAGGCTGGGTTGGACGAGGCCTGAGTCACTTGCAGACAGGGGGGACACTGTGTTGAGTGGGTTGGATGCAGTCTACGGATGGAAATTACTTTTTTCATTTCAAGGAACGGGCATATAGAGAAAAAACAAAATGGATGTAAGTCTTCTTGCCATTTTCAGTTCTTGCTTGGAATAAGATTATGTACTGCAATTTGATGACATGGGCAGGTGCTGAAATGGCAGAGCCTCCTGCCAAGGAAAGTCCCATCTGAAACTAGTTTGGGGCCATCTTGAAATAATAAAGCTGAACAATATCACACTGTATGGCTTAGTAAGAGCATCCAAGAAAAACATTGCTTTGTTCTTAATCACAAGGGTTAGGAACTACAAAAATATCCCTTTAATCCCTTTAATGAGTGCACCTCTGGCCGGAAACTTGAGTTACTCAGAACCCCTTTAAAATCTCGCCCACTGTTTCCATGCATTCCAGTGAGGACACGAAGCCACTACTGGAGCGCCAACATCTTGGACCCTCTGGGTGGACTTCCCAAATTTATTGCCTTGACTGTTAAAGTCAGGAATAAGAGATTTGTGAGGTCAGATTAGGAAGTTTAAATTTTCTCTAATGTTTA